AAAGTTCATATTCAGTAAAGGATTGAATTCAGAATATATAAAGACCCTTGAGCTCTCAGGAATAAGAAATAACCTTCCTACTTTAAAATTTTTTTATTTAAATTCTATTAAGTTAATATATAGTGTATTATTAGTTTCAGAGGTAGAGTTTAATAATTCATTAGTTGTATATAATACCCAGTGCCCATTACATCAAGTGCCCTCCTTAATGCCCATCACCCAATTACCTCATCCCCCAACCCATCTCCCCTCCAGTAACCGTCAGTTTGTTTTCTATAGTTAAGAGTCTCTTATGGTTTGCCTCGCCCTCTCTTTTAATCTTATTTTATTTTTCCTTCCCTTCCCCTATGTTCATCTGTTTTGCTTCTTATATTCCACAAATGAGTGAAATTATATTATTTGTCTTCCTCTGACTGACTTATTTTGCTTAGCATAATACCTTCTAATTCCATCCACATCATTGCAAATGGCAAGATTTCATTATTTTGATAGCTGAGTAATATTCTGTTGTTTGTAGATACCACATCTTCTTTACCTATTCATCTGTCGATGGACATCTCAGCTCCTTCCACAGTTTGGCTATTCTGGACATTGCTGCTGTAAATACTGGAGTGAAGGTGCCCTTTCTAATCACTATGTTTGTATCCTTTGGATAAATACCTAAGAGTGCAATTGCTAGGTCATAGGATAGCTCTATTTTTAATGCCTTTAAGAACCTCCCCTGTTTTCTAGGGTGGCTTACCAGTTTGCATTCCCACAGTAGTGTAAGAAGGTTCCCCTTTCTCCATATCCTCACCAACATCTGTTGTTTCCTGACTTGTTAATTTTAGCCATTCTGACCAGTGTGAGGTGATATCTCATTATGGTTTTGATTTGTATTTCCCTGATGCCAACTGATATGGAGCATTTTTTCATGTGTCTGTTAGCCATTTGTATGTCCTTTTTTTTTTTTTTTAACGTCTTAATTGTATTTTTTTTTCAGTGTTTCAAGATTCATTGTTTATGCACCACACCCAGTGCTCCACACAATGTCTTCTTTGGGAAAATGTCTGTTCATGTCTTCTGCCCTTTTCTTGACTGGATTATTTGTTTTTTGGGTGTTGAGTTTGGTAAGTACTTTATGTTTTGGATACTAGCCCTTTATCTGATAGGTCATTTGTAATTATCTTCTCCCATTCCATAGGTTGCCTTTTAGTTTTGTTGTTTTCATTGTTGTGCAAAAGCTTTTTATACTGATGAAGTCCCAATGGTTCATTTTTGGTTTTGTTTCCTGTGCCTCTGGAGACGTGTCTAGCAAGATGTTGCTGCAGCCAAGGTCACAGAGGTTGATGCTTGTGTTCTCCTCTAGGATTTTGACAGATTCCTGTCTCACATTTGGGTCTTTCATCCATTTTGAATTTATTTTTGTGTGTGGTGTAAGGAAGTGGCCCAGTCTCATTCTTCTGCATGGGGCTGACCTACTCTAAAATAAGCAAATAGGTTGGATAAACATTTCACAGAAAATATATATGGATGACAAATGATCCCCTGAAAAGATACTCAGCAACATTACTTATTAGGGAAATGTAGATTAAAACCACCATGAGATACCACTATATACCTATTTAAATGTCTCCACTGAAGAAGTGGGCCATGCCAAGTGTAGTGAGGACATGAGGAGTTGAAAATCTCAAACACTACTGGAGAAAGTGTAAAATGGTACAACCACTTTGGAAAACAGCCTGGCACTTTCTTAAAAAGTTAAACATATACCTATCATGTGACTTCACCATTCCACTTCTGTTTATTACCAAAGAGAAATGAAAGGATATGTCCATACAACAACTTGTACATGAATGTTTATAATAGATTTGTTTCTAATAGCCGTAAACTTACAGCAACCCAAATGCCCATCAACAGGTAAATGAACAAACATATGGTAGTATATCCATACAATGTAATACTACTCAGTAATAAAAAGTGATTAACTATCATAGATGTAACAATATGAAAGAATCTCAAAATACTTATATTGAGACATAAACAGCAGACAAAAGATAGAGATAGCAGACAAAAATGAGTACATACGGTACCATTCTATTCATATAAAAGTCTTGAGAATGAAAACAACAGAATGACAGAAAGCAAATTAGTGGTTGCCTTCAAAGCAGTAAGGGAATGGAAGAAGGCAGGAGGGAGAGACAAAATTGTTGTGGTGGCTTTATGAGTTTATATGTATGTCAAATTTTATCAAAATTAACACTTTAAACACTGTAGTTAATTGTATGTCAGTTATATCTTCTTAAACCCTTTTTAAAACATGAAAATAAATAAATAAATATACGTCTGTTGAATTTAAAATACTTGTAATGCTGGTGCCTTCAGGCTTCAAGGGCTCTGTCCCTATAAAGCATCAACCAAATAGAGGAAGAGGTAATATAAGCATGAGGTGAACCCAGAAGATCAGAAGACCCGAAATGTTGACAGAACCAAAGCTGCAATGAGTTTGTCATGTCTTCTTTCTCACTCATACCCTTTCACATTGCTGTTATTCTGACCTCAAGAAGAACAGTAAAAGATCTCTCAAATAGGACATAGCACTAACCATAAAAGGCAAAACTGGTGAACCAAACTTCAAAATTAAGAACATCTGCTATCAAAAGATATCAACAATAAGCACACATAGTTTGGGAGAAGATAGATACAGAGAGATTGAGATAAAGATGTGTGTATGCATTATATCTGTATATATTACTGATATATTTTACACATACATGCACATGTACATAATACATACATATACATACTTACACATACATGTAATTACATGTAGAATTTTTAATTCCTTCAAATCAAGAGGGAAAGCAGCTAACAACTCTATTTTTCAAATGGTCAAAAGACTTGAATAATTACCTCGTGGAAGAAAATATTCAAGCAGCCAATACATGCATTAAAGGATGCTCAACATCAGGAAAATTAAAAATTAAAACAAAAGATATTTTGCTTACACACACCAGAATGGATAAAATACAAATGCTAAGTGTCAATGAGGATGTGGAACAACTGGAATTCTTGGACATTGTTGATAGCTGTGCAAACTGACTCAGATATTTTTTAAAACACTTTGACAGTATTAAAAAAAACTAAACATATATCTACTCTATTATCCAGCAAATCCACATCTAAATATATATCCAAAAGAAGCTTTTGCATACTTCAATTGAAATGCATGTTAAAAAATATTTATAGAGGGGCACCTGGGTGGCTTAGTCATTAAGCGTCTGCCTTCAGCTCAGGTCATGATCCCAGGGTCCTGGGATCGAGCCCCGTCTGCATAGGGCTCTCTGCTCAGTGGGGAGCCTGCTTCTACCTCTCCCACGCCCCCTGCTTGTGTTATCTCTCTCACTGTATCTCTTTCATCAAATAAATAAATAAAATCTTAAAAAATTTTATAGAAATGTTATTAACCATAGGGCTAAAACTTAAACTATCTTTTCATTAACAGGCTAAATAATTGTATGGTCTCATAATGGAATAACACACAACAATAAAAAAATAATATATCCACACATGCAATGCTATAGATAATTATCACAGGCTTTATGCTGAGGAAAAGAAGTCAGAAACAACAAAGTACATGTTTATGTGAACTTCAAATATAGGCAAAATTAACCTATGATAATTAGAGTCAGAATAGTTGATACCTTGGGGCGGGGAGGATAAGGGCAGTTAGTATTTATGGCAAAGGAGCAAAAAGAAGCCTTCTAAAGTGGATAGAAATGTTTTACATTGTTATCTAGGCTGTGGTTACATATACATGTGCAAAAATTCAGTGAGATATACACTAAAGATTTGCACACTTTGCTATATGAAAATTAGACTACAAAAAATTTTAAAGGACGGTTTCTGTTATTTTTCATTACTTACATTGTACTGCATACCCAGGATATGGGTATGCAGTACAATGTAATAGATCCAAAATGTTATTTCTACATGTTATCAACATAAAAAGTTGCAGCGAGATAGCTTACATTATTTTTCATATTAATCCTTCAAAGACCCAGTGTGTATTTTACAGTTATATTCCTGACTTCTTGTGTGTCTCAGATTCAATGCTCAGTGCCATACACAGCTAGTGACTGCCATATTGGATAGTGCCAATTATCTTGGACCACAGCCAAGGTAACCCTTGAAATAAGACTCCAAATTCTTTCTGTTAGTCTTTAAATAACATATGACACTTCCACCACACACCTTTACACCCCATAAAATTAAATTTCTGTCCTCTGGAAGTTCTAATTCACTAAACTATGTCTGTAGGGCTCCACCCACCAAGTCAGTGGACACCATACTTGCCTCTCTGAAATCTAACATACTTTCCAATTACACACTACAAAATTCATCAAACACTGATCTTGTCATTTTGCCAAGACCAACTCAACAAAATTTTTCACCTCCTACTCTCTTGCAAAATGTGATATATTAAAATTATCCTGTGAAAAGTGCATGAAATTACTGTGAATATATTCATAACTTAAATGTGCTAGGTCAACCAACATGTGAAATGAAATCTTCCAAGAAAAAACTGAGGCAAAAAAACATGGCATAGGGGAAAACAAACTGGATTGAGATTCGAGCAAGGATTTCGGTCCCAGCTCTGGCACCAGGTAGTTTTATGTTCCTGGGCAACATAGGAATGTTTCTGACTCTGCAAAGTGTGATGTTTTATATAAAGGCACTGGATCAAATGATTCCTAAGCCCCATTCAATGTTGAATACTCTAAGATTGTACCAATTATTTTTCATAAAATACAGAAGAAAGAATTGGGGGATTTGTGTAGGGGAGAATCAGTCCATTTGGTAAAGAAAGTTAAAATTTCCTCTGGCATATAGTTTAGAAAGAAAGCACTAGAGCTTGGATTCCTCATCTTAAAAAAAGTCAGAATAACAATAAGTAATAGTAATAAAAACACTACAATATAAAAATCCTTGGATCTTTTATCTCAATTTCTAATATTTTTTCAAGAGAAAGTTAATCTGCCCAAGGTTTTCCTCAGGGCAAATTTGACATCCTTATTCCTCAGACTATAGATTAATGGGTTGAACATTGGCACAACAATGGTGTAGAACAAGGAAGACACTTTGCCCTGGTCAAGGGGCAAAATAGAAGGTGGTTTGAGGTACATAAAGGCTCCAGATCCAAAGAAAAGAGAAACAGCAATTATGTGAGAACTGCAAGTACTGGAGGCTTTAGACCTGCCTTCAATTGAGCTAATATGGAAAATGCTGGAAATAATGAAACCATAAGAGATAAAAATGGCAACAATGGGCACCCCAATGGTCACAACAATAAAGACAACTAGTAGATTTATGTAAGAGCTGTTGCAGGAGAGCTCAAGAAGGGGAAGGATATCACACATATAGTGATTGACAAGGTTGTCAGCACAGAAGGTCAAAAATAATATATTTCCTGTATGGACCACAGCCCCAAACACTCCCATCCCATAAACACCCAATAAAAGGAGGAAACACACCTGAGGAGACATGGTGACTGTGTACAGCAGTGGTTTACAGATGGCGACATAATGGTCATACATTGCCGACAGGATGAAAGATTCAGAAAAGACAAAAAAAAAAAAAAAAAAAAAACAAAAGAAAAAGAGCTGAGTCATACACCCTGCATAGGAAATGATGTTCTTCTTGGAGACAAAACTCATTAGCATTTTGGGGATGATGGCAGTAGAGAAACTAAAATCTATGAAGGACAAGTTGAGGAGGAAAAAGTACATGGGAATATGAAGGTGAGAATTCAGCCCAATCAGGGTTATCAGGCCCAGGTTCCCCACCACTGTGACCACATAGAAACCTAGAAACAGGAAGAAGAGGGGCATCTGGAGTTCTGGCTCATCTGTTAAGCCTGCGAGGACAAACTCTGTCACAGAGGAGGCGTTATCTGCAGCCATTGTCCTCTAGGAGGGTCTGTAAGGGAAAAAGAAACAAGTCACTGAGACAGAGAGAGAGAAGGCTGCACACCAGAGAAGTGCAGGGAGTGACATAAGAAGACGAGGATAGGAACATTTACTGAGTGCCAGCTATGGGATAGGCGCTGTTCTAAACGCTGTGTGGCATTGTGAGTATCCCCATTTCACAGATGAGGACCCTGGACCCAAGTGACTTGCACCAGTCCTGGTGCTGCTAAGTTACAGTAGAAGGTGAACTCGGGTGGTCCGGGTCCTGGGGTTTGAGCTTTTACCCCCTCTGCTACAGGACAGACCAGGTCAGGCGGGCACTCACCTCCTTCTGCTTCCAGTCACAGTGCTGTTCTCCACTGGCTCTTTCATGGCCCCAGTGAACAGAATGTGACAACTCAGAGCTCAGACTCTCTGCTTCTGCTTCTTTACTTTGAGGATCAAAACCTCTAATTGTCTTGCTGAGCTGAACTTGATCTGTTTGTGGCTTTGGCCCAAGTCTCTTGTCCAAATTCTAGGCATGAGACAGCATCCTTTCCTAATGCCCATGGATAACAGGAAGCTAAGGAGTTTCATTCTGGGTTAGAGATCTCAGGGACGTAGTTACAGAGACTCCCTCAGGATCACTGCTCCAGAGAACCCCCTCCCTAAGGAAGAAGAAATGTTTGTTTACACCCTTGATAATACTTGATGTGATTTTTAATGACCCGTGGCTACATTTTTCATTGTGATTACATATTTTTAAGCTATTAATTATAGCAAGGCACCATGGGAACAACAGTAATTACTACCTTGTATTGAACCCTTACCGTGTATCAAACACTGTATTCATCCAGGACTCTCAGTGAAGGATCCAAAGCAATGCACAAAAAATAATACCTGTTTATTCCTCACAACGGTCTTATATATTAGACCTATAAATATCCACTTTAAAAATGAAGAGTACACACAGCTTGTAGGTTCCAGAATCTTGAGTCAAACTCTGATCTACCCAACTCCAAACTTCATAGGGTCCAGGGACCCTGCTGAGCTTCTTAAACAAACACAAGGTATTTAATGTATGTTACTAACAATGCCTAATATTGTCTGCAGACACCACTTCTACCTACTAAAACTACTGCACACATTGTCAAAATAGTTCTCAGGAAATGATTTCATTCATATAGAGACTAATAAACTTTTACATGGCAACTTGCACTCGATGCCTCTTACAAGGGGACCTTAATATTAAGGAAGACAGATTTCATACCCAAAAAATAAATCTTGATTTGGGGGAATTTAAGCTTCAGTGTGCCAGTGGATTAAATAGGTTTTTGGTCCTGGATTAATGACAAAAGTCCTCTTAGAGAAGTTATGAAGTCAAAACACAAAGGCAGAAATCCATCTTCCTCCAGAAAAGTTCTGCTAAAACCACTGCACGCACACTGTGTGTTTGTGTGTGCACACTCCTCCATGAGGACTTGCCCACCCTCAGCTAAGACTCACCAATGACAGTGCCTCGTCTTTTGATTTATACTTAGAATTAACATGTCCCAGAGTAACTCCAGTAATCCTAATCCTTGTTCTCAATCCCACTGCAAAAATGCTATAAACGGAGAAAAACAGTTCATTAAAATGAATGAAATTAAGCTCTCCTTGAGAACCAAGTATAGAGAAGTTACGGGTTCTCTGAAAGCTCTAAGGGGATTTTGTTACCTCAGAGACAGTTGCCATGCCAACCTCATTTCCAAATGTATCTCAAACAGGGCTTCTCTAAAGTCCTGTTACCTGATGACTTGTTCCATCACTGCAGAGAACAAAAGAGCTGTTTTGCCCTTTCCATTTGTATAGTACTCTTGCATTTCCAAAACTGGAATCTCTGAAATGGCTTTCTTCTTATTAGTTTCAAACTTAAACTATATATTATAAATACAACATTACAGGGAATATGAAGATTTACATATACTAAAATGCCTTTGCATGTATGTCTCATGCATGTGCATTGGCTCTCAGACTTCTAGTAGACCATCAAAGTTGCACAAGTATGGTCCCAAATCAGTCCCCACATATCATAGGATTCCCAGCTTCAATAAGAAGCACAAACCTGGCCAGAGAGAAGAGATGACACCTGACCTACCTCCATGTGAAATAGCTTCCTTAGCTCCTGAGAAAATAGATAGAATTCAATTTATCTTTCAGTAATCATCTGGGTCTGCATAGTGGCTACTGTTAATTTTTTTTTTCAATGCTCCAGGATTTTTTTTATTTTTACTTTTTATTTAAATTCGATTTAGTTAGCACATATTGTTAGTTTCAGGGCTAGAATTTAGTGATTCATCAGTTACATATAATATCTAGTGCTCATTACATCAAGTGCCTTCCTTAATGCCCATCATCCAATTACCCCATTGTTAAACTGATTTTAATAAATGTATTTGGCAATGTAATATGTGAGGTTCAGAGATACAAAAAACAAACGAACTAACTAAACTAAAAAAAAAAAAAAAACCCACAAAAAGTAAAAAACATGGTTCCTTGTCAGAAAGAAGTTTACAGTCTGAGGCATCACCCATATAGGCTCTTCTTTCTATCCCTGTCCCTTCATATCTCATATTTCCCAGGGTTCAGCTCTCAATTTACCACACTATCTCTACTTCCTTTAATTCTTTTTTTTTCTTTTTTTTTTATTTTAATTCAATTAGCCAAGATACATAGTACATCATTAGTTTTTTATGTAGCAGCTTCCTTAAATTTTTGATGAGCTCCTTCCTTTCATGGCTTCCACGATCCCTCCATGTAAATGGCTCTCAAATTTGTGCCTTTATTTCTTCATTCTCTATTAAGTTCCTTCCATGTGTACCCAATAGGATTTTTTTTTTTCTGGATATTTCAAGAGACTGTCCTGTGGTCATCTCTGAACTCACCAAGTATATAAACTCATGTTCCTTTCTCCAAAAGTAGATGTTCTCTCAACCTCTCCATTATTTATCTGAGTGTAACCAGTGATGAAGTGAGAGTAGAATTCATAAAGTTATTCTGAGCCTAGTTTTCCTAGGGCAGTCCCTCCAGAAATTATAAATAGATTTCCCTTTCACTCTGAAATATATCCTAGTTGAGTGAGAAGTATTCAAAGCATAAGCTCCGGAATCTGGTGGACCACAGCATAAATCCTAGTTCCGTGTTTTAGTAGCTGTGTGATCTTTCAAAATTTAACTTTTCTGTAAGTTTCTAATTTTTAATCTTAAAATGGGGAAAAGAACCACCACTCAAAGTGTTACTTTAATGAGTAAATGATGTTCCTTCTGGCACAAAGAAGATACAAGAAGCAGTTTATTAAAATGATATATTTTGGGGGCGCCTGGGTGGTTCAGTTGGTTAAAGCCTCTGCCTTCAGCTCAGGTCATGGTCCCAGGGTCCTGGGATTGAGCCCCACATCAGGCTCTCTGCTCAGCAGGGAGCCTGCTTCCTCCTCTCTCTCTGCCTGCCTCTCTGCCTACTTGTGATCTCTGTCTGTCAAATAAATAAATAAAATCTTTTTTAAAAAATAAATATTTTATATATATTATTCCTAAATTTATTAAATAAATAATATTTATTATTTGTTATAGTAGTAGTAATAACTGTATCCTTGGCTGAAAGCAGTTTCAGAATGGGCTAGAACAGAAAGAAACCAAAGGCAGGGAAATTAATTGAAAGCTTTACACGAGCATAGGGCACCTGACTGGCTCAGTTGGAAGAGCATGTGACTGAATCTTGGGGTCATGCATTCAAGTCCCACATTGGCTGTAGAGACTACCCAAAAATAAATAAAACTTAAGAAAAAAAAAAAACTTTACACAAGCAGTATAAACAAAAATGAATAAACGGTGCCACATATTATGATATTATGATGAAATACCAAACAGGATTTCTTATCTATATGGCTTGAGAAGGAACAATAGAAAAGTGGCACAAATAAAATTTGGTGAATTTTCCAAGCCCAGCCTGTGACAGAAATGGGAAAATAAGTAGGTGGAAGGATAAAGAACTGGGTTTTAGACAAGATCATCAACTGCTGATGGGATTTCCAAACAACAATGGTCAGAAAGAAGTAGAAACTGGAAAATCCGAGACTTAGTACAGGGGATTGAGATACGAATTGCAGGATCACCTGAACAGAGGAGATCACAGAAAAAAAGTAGGAAAATGGCTTCAAGGAGTTGTGTTTAAAGACAGAATAGTTAGAGGGGTCGCCTGGGTGGCTCAGTTGTTAAGTGTCTGCCTTCGCCTCAAGTCGTGATCGATCCCCCGGGTCATGGGATCCAGCCCTACATCTGGCTCCCTGCTCAGCAGGAAGCCTGTGTCTTCCTCTCACATTCCCCCTGCGTGTGTTCCCTCTCTCACTATCTCTCTTTCTGTCAAATAAATAAATAAATAATCTTTAAAAATAGCAAAGTAAAATAAAAAAATAAACCCCAACTATAGTCCTTATTTCCTGAGTGAACCTAAGTAACTTAACCCAATTAATACTTAGTGTCCCACTCTAAAGCACAGGAAGAAATAAAGAAATAAAATAAAATAAAATAATTTAAAAACAGGGTAATTCCAAACTGGCAGAAATTTATGAGGAATTATACTCCCATGAATATTCATTTAATAAATATTAGTTGAGTTTACAAAATGTCAGAGAGGTCAAGGTAGAGAAAAAAAAAAGATTTTTAATTTTATTTACTTATTCGACAGAACGAGAGAGCACAAGCAGGGGGAGCAACAGAGGAAGAGGGAGAAGCAGTCTCCCTGCTGAGCTCAATCCCAGGACCCTGGGATCATGACATGAGCTGAAGCCAGAGGTTTAACTGACTGAGCCACCCAGGCACCCAAGGTAGAGATTTTAAGAGTAAGGGATAAATAATGTTGATATAGGAAAGAACATTAGGGTTCGAAGCCAATGGCCAAGAAAGAATTCTTGAGACATCTTTGGTGCAAAAAGATGATTTTACTAAAGCTCGGGGAAAGGACCTGTGGGCAGAAAGAGCGGCAGTGGGGTTCGTGAGGAGTAACCCATTTTATGTTTTCAGATTGGGAGGGGGTTAGAAATAGCATTAAGTCTCTAAGGAATTTTGAAAGCAAGATTTCCAGGACCTTGTGGGGGGTTAGCTATTGTCGGGAAATGGTCATTTATTACTATCTAATAAAACCTTAGTCATGAGACCTTTCAGGTGTATATTGGTGGGCCATATGTTTGGAGGATGACTGCCAAAATGTATCTTGGGGAGTTTAGAGGTAAAGAAAGTTTCCAAGAGAATGTTTATATGACAGGATCCTGGAGGGATGTCAAGCTAGGATTGCCTTTTGCCCTTAGCAAAGTATTAATATTGAGGCGGTTGAATCCCTAGAGGAATGTCACTCTGCCTGTTTCAAGGACTTGCCAGTGGGCTGTAGGCAGTATGGAAATTTAATAATTTTTCTTCTGCCTTTAGTTTCCCACATCAATGTTACCAAGGATGCAAGGGGAAAAAAAGAACTGAAAAACAATCTTGAACTAAGGCATTGTCTTGCAAGTCTATTCACTATTCTTCCATGTTACTCTTACTGTGCTTTGTCTAATACAGCCTTATACTATTCATTATTTCAAGATTATAGTCCAGAAACCCCAACTAGATTAAAAGTTTCTTCAAGGAAAATCCTTGGTCCTATAGCTTTTGGGTACACTAACACACTGAGTACCAATCAGAGTGATGAATACATTATAGATGCTCTTCAAAAACTTACTGAATGTAATGGGCTTGCATGGATATAGTGCCATGGAAAGCCATATGGCAAACCCATAATTCCCAGGATAGTTTTTTACTGTCTGAAATAATTCGTCAGTGGTTCCGATAAGCAGACTTTTGATCCCTACCCAAAAAAAAAGTAATGTAAACCACACATAATTAGGTTTACTAAAACGAAGCTTGAAACCTTCAATATGTTGATAATGCTGTCTACACAACAATGCCAGAAGATCTCTGCCTGTCAAGGTCAAGGTGTTTGTAAAACAAACTTCCGCCTTTCTTAAAGGTGTTGGCAAAGAAAAGTTTACTAAGTGGCAGAAGTTACTGCAAAGACTACACAGAAAGTTACCAAGCAACTTAAAATCCTCCAGAACCAAGTTCCTCCCCGCCCCACCCCACCGCCAGGGCGTTAAATTCAGGAAATGTTGTGCTAATTAGTAAAGTTATATTAATTAATATACAAATACTGTAAAGTCTATCATTTACAAGAACTGTACAGGGTACAAAAGAAATCAGTGTGCTAGGAAGTACAATATAGGCAGAATGAATCGGGACAAATCCAAAATGACCTTCAAGTGTGGTTTCACGGAAAGGAGAAATGTAATTTGATGGGTAGAAACAGAGAGATTGTTCTAAACTAACAGAGACTTGTTAATCTACTAATAATTATTAAATTAAGTGTCTTACGTGTACAAAGAAATCAAGCAATGTAAAGAAAGTAAAATGCATGAACTCCTCTATAATCTTACTTGCAGCCTTAAATATCC